ATTAAGCTAAAAATAGTAAAAACAAGAAATTGAAAAAATAGAGCAAAAGAAAGATACATACATAAAGGTTAAAGAGAAGAAGATACACACATAGAGGAACTTAAAAAAAAAAATAATAATAACAAAAAAACAAAACCCACCAAATACGGAGAAGATGATTGATCTTGTAGAAAAAAAAAACAAAAACAACCAGAAAAGACCAGAGTCAACGAAAGCGAACTCTTGAACAAAACACCGCAAAACATAGATACTCTTTTTTTATATGTATAAAAAAGATCATTCAAACACACACACACACACAAATATTAAACCCACCAAAAATAAATAAATAAAAACTTATAAAAAAAAAAGACCACAAAAGAGTTTCGTAAGAATTACTGGAACAACAACTATTTATAAACACACATCTCAAGAAATACGATCAGATCACATTTTAAACAAAAATTAATACAATGCTTTAAATTAGTAATGCTGCGGCTGCTGCTAGTAACAGTCTCAGTAGCAGTGAAGCTGTGTAGCTTGTTTTTTAACTTAACATTTAAGAAATGTGAGAGAGAATAGCTGTTAGAGTTTAACAGAGAGAGAGGGAATAATTATAATTCTTTCTGTGATCAAATTCTGAGCAAGGGATTAAGGGAAACTCGGGTTTTTTGTTTACATATCAGCTTTTTGGGAACATTTTTCCCTAATTTCGAACAGGTATATTCTAGAATCTATGAACTATACGTCTAGTTTGTGGTCTAGTCTATAGTCTAGTCTATAGTCCAGACTATAGTCTAGTCTATACTCCAATCTATAGTCTAGTCCAACGGTTCCCAAAAGGGGGTCCGCGGACCCCTAGTGGTCCGTAGCAAAATCCTAGGGGGTCCGCGAAGACGAACGAAAAAAATCATGAATAAAAAATATTCTCTATATGTTACAAAATATTAAAAATATCTCCAAATTTTTCATAAATACTAAAATACACAATTTTTATTCAATAATCCCAGATTTGTTGGTGACTCTTTGAATTTTATTGTTTCGGTCGTTTATCAGGATGAAGCTAGGCGCTACAAATTTATTGTTTCACTTTTATAAAGTAAAGTATTACGTGATTTGTAATTTTTATAAATATAAATGTTTTTATAGCAGACGGATAATGATTTGCCTTAGAATTAAATACTGATACTAGTATCCCGGAATATGAAGTTAGGTCACATTTCATAATATTTTTTTAAATTGTAAGCAAAAGTGTTAATCTAGTTGATTTTAAATATAAATATTCCATTCCAACGTGATACACAGATTTTAACTTCATTTTGTTGTCCAATATTATTAAATCAACATCAGAAAATTCATAGCGTTTTGCGTAAATAGTCAAAACCACGCAGTAAAATAATTCGTAGGTATTTTAAAATTCAAATTTAAGATCCAAATTCACAGTACATTCGCAAAGAGTTCAAGTCATATTTTATGTGGGTAACGCATTCCGCAACAACATCGAAGAAGTCTAACTTTCACATATTTTCCCGAAAATTTAGCTTACATACTCAGCTCACTCCTATGCAATCGCAAAAAAATTTAGAAACATGACTCTTTAAGCACATGTCGACAATACTTGTTAAAGAAACCTTTTCTCTACCTTGACGAGAAATGAACATGAAAGCTCTCACGATCATAAAATTAAACATCATGTTAGAAGTCATTCTATATTTAAAACCATGAAATTGAAAACATCTCCGAAATACTAAATGTTCTCAATGTACGGGAATATTTTATAGGGTTTATGGACCAGGACTAAGACAATTTTCGAACAATTACACAGTGATACAGCAAAAAAATGCAGGGGTTCTCATATACCAATTCCATTTCGTTATAGTCCATAGAGTAGGAATTTATTTTTAATTTTTCCCGATCACTTCGTTTAGTTCCTTTTTAAGAGCAAAAGTTGTGAAAAAGAGCTATTTCTGAAGTTTTAACTTTAAAAAAATATATGTCTGGTAGTTTGCAACCGATTTTCAAATTGGATATTTTGTTTTAAAGATACAAGTGTTGTCTTTCAACCCAAAAAAATAAATCCAAAATTTATGATTAATGTCTTGGTTACGGCCATTTAAGTAAAAAAACTCACACTTTTTTCACAATTTTTAATTTTCATACTGCTCTACGTTGGCCATGAAGCAATAACTTTAGCTTTTATTACATTTGAAAAAAGCCACATTAAGTTGGGTTTCCAATGATGGTCAATTTATGATAATCGATGAAAAAGGTTATGAGTTGTGCTAAGTTTTATAAAAATATAGCATATTTCTTCCATACAAAAACGTTCATGTTTCTGGTTTTCTTTGTAACAAGTTTAAAAAATGTTTATAAACATTTTTATACAAAAATTAATTTGTATGGAGAAAACCAAAAATTCGAGAAACATTCTATAAGAAAAATTGGCATAAATTATCCAGTTTTTCATAGATTTTTATGAAATAACAAGTTTTAGAAACCTTCCTTTATGTGATTCTTCAGGAAAGTAATAAAAGATGAACTCACTGCCTCATGGTCAAAGTAGAGCATGATGAAAATGAAAATTTTTTAAAAAAGTGTGAGTTTTTTTACTTAAACGACCGTAACTCAGACATTTGACCATAAATTTTGGATTTCTTTTTTTGGATTAAAAGACACTTGTATCATTAAAAAAAAAATCGGATTTGAAAATCGGATGAAAACTACTAAACTTATGATTTTTCAAATTTAAAACTTCAAAAATGGCTCTTTTTCGCATCTTTTGCTCTTAAAAAGTAAGTTAACGAAGTGATAGGGGAAAACTAAAAATATATTCGTACTCTATGGACTATAACGAAATAGAATTGGTATATGAGAACGCCTGCATTTTATTTTTCTTCACTTTTGTATCACAGTGTTATTTATAACAATAAGATATCAAAATATGTATGGGGGTCCGTGAAATTAAATAAATTCCTCAAGGGGTCCGCGAAGTAAAAAATGGTGGGAACCGCTGGTCTAGTCTATGGCAATAGTCTAGCCTATAGTCAAGGCAAAAGTCTAGTCTATAGGTAAGACTATAGTCTAGGCTATGGTCCAGTTTAGTCTACATGTAGTCTAGTATCATGACTATTCCATGGTCTAGTTTAAAGTCAAGTCTATAGACTGGTCTATAGTCTAGTCTACAGTATAGTCTATAGTCTAGTCTACAGTCTAGTCTAAAGTCTAGGCTATAGTCTAGTCTATAGTCTAGTCTATAATCTAGTCTATAGTCTGGTCTATAGTCTAGTCTATAGTCTGGTCTATAGCCTATTCTAGAGTCTATTCTATAGTCTAGTCTAAAGTCTAGTCTATAGTCTAGTCTATAGTCTGGTCTATAGCTTATTCTATAGTCTAGTCTAAAGTGTAGTCTATAGTCTAGTCTATAGTCTAGTCTATAGTCTAGTCTATAGTCTAGTCTATAGTCTAGTCTATAGTCTAGTCTATAGTCTAGTCTAGTCTATAGTCTTAGTCTATAGTCTAGTCTATAGTCTAGTCTAGTCTATAGTCTAGTCTATAGTCAAGTCTATAGTCTAGTCTATAGTCTAGTCTATAGTCTAGTCTATAGTCTAGTCTATAGTCTAGTCTATAGTCTAGTCTATAGTCTAGTCTATAGTCTAGTCTATAGTCTAGTCTATAGTCTAGTCTATAGTCTAGTCTATAGTCTAGTCTATAGTCTAGTCTATAGTCTAGTCTATAGTCTAGTCTATAGACTAGTCTATAGTCTAGTTTATAGTCTAGTCTATAGACTAAATATAGTCTAGTCTATAGTCTAGTCTATAGTCTAGTCTATAGTCTAGTCTATAGTCTAGTCTATAGTCTAGTCTATAGTCTAGTCTATAGTCTAGTCTATAGTCTAGTCTATAGTCTAGTCTATAGTCTAGTCTATAGTCTAGTCTATAGTCTAGTCTATAGTCTAGTCTATAGTCTAGTCTGTAGTCTAGTCTATAGTCTAGTCTAAAGTCTAGTCTATAGTCTAGTCTATAGTCTAGTCTATAGTCTATAGTCTAGTATATAGTCTAGTCTATAGTCTAGTCTATAGTCTAATCTATAGTCTAGTCTATAGTCTAGTTTATAGTTTAGTCTATAGTCAAGTCTATAGTCTAGTCTATAGTCTAGTCTATAGTCTAGTCTATAGTCTAGTCTATAGTCTAGTCTACAGTCTAGTCTATAGCCTAGTCTATAGTCTAGTCTATAGTCTAGTCTATAGTATAGTCTATAGTACAGTCTACAGCCTAGTCTATAGTCTAGTTTATAGTCTAGTCTATAGTCAAGTCTATAGAATAGTCTAGCCTATGGTCTATAGTCTAATCTATAGTCTGGTCCATAGCCTAGTATTTAGTTTAGTCGGTAGTCTAGTTTATAGTCCAGTCTATAGTCTAGTCTATAGTCTAGTCTATAGTCTAGTCTATAGTCTAGTCTATAGTCTAGTCTATAGTCTAGTCTATAGTCTAGTCTATAGTCTAGTCTATAGTCTAGTCTATAGTCTAGTCTATAGTCTCATCTATTGTCTAGTCTATAGTCTAGTCAATAGTCTAGTCTATAGTCAAGTCTATTCTATAGTCTAGTCTATAGTCTACACTGTAGTCTATAGTCTAGTCTTTAGACTGGTATACAGTCTGGTATTTAGTATGGACTATAGTCCAGTCTATAGTCTGGACCATAGTCTAGTATATAGCCTAGTCTATAGTCTGATCTATAGCCTATTTTTAACAATTTTTTAAGTTCTATCAGTCTGTCCCTACTTCATTACCCAATCACTGTTCTTAAACAAGAGTTATGACACATGATGCTTAAACAGCTTTAACAACAACAAATTAACACTTTAAACTTAACAAAAAAACAGTGTTTTTCCTAAGAAAAGGAGGTGGGAGCAGGAGTGCGTGAGTGTAAAAAATATAAGTAAAAGTATATGTAATAAAGCAAAAAGTCTGGCCAAATTCTAACTAGAATTTTAAGTAAAACACTCACAAATACACACTCACTCTTTACTCTTGGGTAACTAATATTAACTTAAATTTTGTTGCAGTTGTTCTGAATTAATTTTCTTAATTTACTTTTTTTTAATTATGTACTTTTATTAATTTGTTTAAAGCAACACTTCTTTTGTTTTTTAAATAATTTCCTAGTTGTTTTTTAAAATTTACTGTTATTTAAACAAACAGTGTTTTCTTGTTTAAAGCTCTCTTTAAAAATGGAGAGTATTGCTTATTGATTTGTTTGCTGTTTGTGTTTTTGTTTGGGTGGAAAAAAAAATGACGTCATAAAATGCCGGTTTTTGTTGTTTTATTATTATTGTTTTTATTTATTATTATTTATTTTAATTGTTACTGTAATTGTTATTTTTTTTTTTTTTTTTGTTGACAAATGTTAGGGAATTAAACAACGTTGTCATTACTTTTTTTGCTTATTTGTTATTATTGTTGTTGTTATTGCTTAAAACACTTACTTATTTTTTATTTATTTAAAATTTTTTTTGTTTATTTTTAAAACTATTAGTAAAATAATTTTTCTGTGTTTTTGTTGTTGTTTTTATATTTATTATTTAAAAGTTTTTACTTAAATTACAAAACTGATATTTTATTTGAAGATTTATATAAACCAAAAATTTTTTATAAAGAAAAACTCTCTCTAAAGTCGACACTTTTTCTATAGAAAAACTCTCTATAAAGCCGACACTTTTTCCATAGAAAAACTCTTTCTAAAGTCGACATTTTTTCTATAGAAAAGCTCTCTCTGAAATCGACAGTTTGTTCTATGGAAAAACTTTCTCTAGTCGATACTTTTTCTATAGAAAAACTCTTTCTAAAGTCGGCACTTTCTTTATAGAAAAACTCTTTCTAAAGTCGACACTTTTTTTTATAGAAAAACTCTCTCTAAAGTCGACACTTTTTCCATAGAAAAACTCTTTCTAAAGTCGACATTTTTTCTATAGAAAAGCTCTCTCTGAAATCGACAGTTTGTTCTATGGAAAAACTTTCTCTAAAGTCGACACTTTTTCTACAGAAAAACTTTCTCTAAAGTCGACACTTTTTCTATAGAAAAAATCTCTCTAAAGTCGACACTTTTTTATGTCGAAACTCTCTCTATCGTCCACACTTTTTCTATAGAAAAACTATCTCTAAAATCGACAGTTTGTTCTATAGAAAATCTCTTTCTAAAGTCGACATTCTATAGAAAAACTCTCCTTAAAGTCAAAACTTTTCTTATATAAAAACTCTCTCTAAAGTCGACACTTTTTCTATATAAAACCTCTCTCTAAAGTCAACATTTTTTTTTATAGAAAAACTCTCTCTTAAGTCCAGACTTTCTTGTAGAAAACACTCTCTAAAGAGGAGACTTTTTCTGTAGAAAAACTCAAAGAAAAACTCTCTCTAAAGTTTAAAATATTTCTATAAAGTAAATCTTTTTCTAAAGACGGCAGTTTTCAGGCAAAGTCTTTAAAGTACAAGGGATTACGAAGCTCTTGGAAAACTTACAGCAACAATTATAGTCTCTATGTATCAGTTAAAGTCAAATTTATTAGATTTTAGAGAATCAGTCCAATCGGTCTATAATTTATTTGAATATAAACAAAACACTAAGACAACCTCTAAATGTCCGTCTGTCTGTATATAAGTTGTTTAAAATAAAATTTCTTTTATACATAGAAGATCTAGGGAATCGAAGGTTATATCAAAATATCAAATCTATTACAGATAATGTTATTATAAAAAATCTTTAAAATCGGCCCATTAATGGGCTGAGTCATAAGCCGGAAACTCCCTACATATGTCCGTCTGTCCGTGTTTAATTTTAAATTAGATTTTCGAAACAAATGGAACTCTTATTGAAACGAATGTTGCCTCAATGCTAAATAGTGTTGTTATAGAAAATCAGCTAAATCGGACAATAATTGTTCAAAATACCAGTTAATAACAACGACTACCTCTAAATGTCCGTCTGTCTGGAAGCAAATTGAAATAAAGTTTCAGAAACTCATGCATAGAGTCCCTGCAAAATGAAATGTACTTCCAAAATATCATATAATCTCCACATATTTTTATTTATAGAAAATCGTATAAATTGGCCAGTCTGTATTATAAACCAGAAATAAGGACTACCTTTTTGTCTGACCGTCTGCCTGTCCGTCTGTCTATCTAGCTATAATGTTGATTTCTGAAGAATTGTTTTGCAATAAATTCTTTATTGTTGTTAATTAAAATGTTTATAGCAAAATTAAAGCATGTATTTACGAAACGCAATATAATTTTGCAAATTAAATGGTACAAATTCTTAACACACACACACACACACACACACACACACACAAAAAGGCCGTAAAAAGTATTTTATAAAAGATTAACTAAAGGTATATAAATCTTTTTTATAACTGGCTAAAGAACGTGTTGCAAAAATTTTATATAAAAAATTATATAAGGGTAAGGTGACAAATTGATAAAAGATTTACTCTCTAATAAAAACTATAGGCAATAGTTTTGGTTTAATTACTTGGAAGCAGTTATTTCACCACTTACAAGTAGTGGAAATGAAGGAACTTAAACTCATAAAATGGTGAAGGGCATTTGAACTTTAAATTAGAAAATTTTTAAAGAACCAATTTGTTTTAAATTAACTAGTTTTATAACTAGTGTAACCACTTTAAATGCTCAAGGTATCACTGTCTACTTCACTAATTACTGGTAGTGAAAATAGTTACTCATGGGAATTTTTTTATTCTTTTTCAAAAAGTTCCAAAACTCATGATTACTAAAAACAATTGAAAAAGATTTCAAAGAAAAAGTTCCAGAACAAGGTGCCAATTTAGAAGATATTTTTTAAATTTTAACACTAAATTTAAAATTTTGATTTTTTTATATAATTTGTTTTTAATTTTTTAAATGGTTTAGTAAATTTGTTATTGTAGGTGTTTAATTATATTTTAATTCCAAAATTATTAATTTGGATTTTTTTATTTTTTTTAAATCTGTGTTTTTAATGTATATTTTCTCACAATTTTTTATACAAAATTCTTAAGTTTAAAATAAAATTTTTTATTATAAAAAAAAACATATTCACTTTCATATAAACTTTTGCATTCTACTTAAGATTTTTGTTGAAATTTTCAAAATTTTTTTATTTAATTTTTTATTTATTTTACAAAATTTATGTGTTTTTCCTTTCTTTTCAGATATTTCTTCAAAATCTTTGTAGGTATTTCTTTATGTTTTTTTTGTTGTTTTTAAAAAAAAATCCAAAAATCATTTCTTTATATAAATTTAACCCATTTTCTGTTGTTGTTTTTTTTCTTTTTGTATAATTTCTTGTTTTGTTTAAATAAAAAAATTTCGTGTTTTATATTTATTTTTTTTTGATTTCCAAACTTTTTTTATGATTTTTTTTTGTTTTACAAAAATAAACAAATCACACTTAAGCACATACACACACAAACACTTAAACATACGTTTACACACCAAAAAGACCAGAGACTCAAATTTATAACAAATACAAATATATTATTTAAACAAATAGTAGAAAAATAAATACCCGTCCGTTAATAAATTTTAATAAAAATTTTAAAATTTGTAAACAAATTTATTATTTTCTTTTTTTTAATAAAATTTTGTTTTATTTTCTTTTTGTGTTAATATTCAGAGAAATTTATTTCTTTTTTATTTTTTTCAATTTTTTTTTTTAATTTAACGTTCCTTTAGCGTTTTCAAGCAAAAAAGTAAAAAGGCTGTGCAGTGCTCAGCGCCTGTTCACAGACTGAATTTGTACATTTACTCTGGGGCTCTCAATTACCAAAAACATTCATTCCTTCTTGTGTTAAGATAACGTCATCTGTAAAGACACAACGCACACAGATACTTTCAAATACAAAAGCAAAACAACAGACTTGAAAATACAAAAAACAAAAACACTCACTTTCAAACCTTACAAAACAAACACACACACTAACCCAACAACAATAGCAAAAGCAATGAGAAGAAATATCTGTAAATTTTATAGAGCACTCTTAAAACTCACGCAACAAACAGACAGCAAAACACTCAAGGCTGCCAGATAGATTTTGGAAATCAACTAACTAACTAACTAACTAACTAACTAACTAACTAACTAACTAACTAACTAACTAACTAACTAACTAACTAACTAACTAACTACTAACTAACTAACTAACTAACTAACTACTAACTACTAACTAACTAACTAACTAACTAACTAACTAACTACTAACTAACTAACTAACTAACTAACTAACTAACTAACTACTAACTAACTACTAACTAACTAACTAACTAACTAACTAACTAACTAACTAACTAACTAACTAACTAACTAACTAACTAACTAACTAACTAACTAACTAACTAACTAACTAACTAACTAACTAACTAACTAACTAACTAACTAACTAACTAACTAACTAACTAACTAACTAACTAACTAACTAACTAACTAACTAACTAACTAACTAACTAACTAACTAACTAACTAACTAACTAACTAACTAACTACTAACTAACTAACTAACTAACTAACTAACTAACTAACTAACTAACTAACTAACTAACTAACTAACTAACTAACTAACTAACTAACTAACTAACTAACTAACTAACTAACTAACTACTAACTAACTAACTAACTAACTAACTAACTAACTAACTAACTAACTAACTAACTAACTAACTAACTAACTAACTAACTAACTAACTAACTACTAACTAACTAACTAACTAACTAACTAACTAACTAACTAACTAACTAACTAACTAACTAACTAACTAACTAACTAACTAACTAACTAACTAACTAACTAACTAACTAACTACTAACTAACTAACTAACTAACTAACTACTAACTAACTAACTAACTAACTAACTAACTAACTAACTAACTAACTAACTAACTAACTAACTAACTAACTAACTAACTAACTAACTAACTAACTAACTAACTAACTAACTACTAACTAACTAACTAACTAACTAACTAACTACTAACTAACTAACTAACTACTAACTAACTAACTACTACTAACTAACTAACTAACTAACTAACTAACTAACTAACTAACTAACTAACTAACTAACTAACTAACTAACTAACTAACTAACTAACTAACTAACTAACTAACTAACTAACTAACTAACTAACTAACTAACTAACTAACTAACTAACTAACTAACTAACTAACTAACTAACTAACTAACTACTAACTAACTAACTAACTAACTAACTAACTAACTAACTAACTAACTACTAACTAACTAACTAACTAACTAACTAACTAACTAACTAACTAACTAACTAACTAACTAACTAACTAACTAACTAACTAACTAACTACTAACTAACTACTAACTAACTAACTAACTAACTAACTAACTAACTAACTAACTAACTAACTAACTAACTAACTAACTAACTAACTAACTAACTAACTAACTAACTAACTAACTAACTAACTAACTAACTAACTAACTAACTAACTAACTAACTAACTAACTACTAACTA